AGGACGCTTATGATACTCTTATGGATCTCCCATCGATTGATGAATAAAATAACATTATAAAACATTTACCTGATTGGAAAGCTTCAGGCCCATCAAAGATCACTAATGAGCTATTAAAGAAGCTAGACCCAAGATGCAAAAACTTCCTTTACAACATTATTTGTGCATGTTTAATTAATAAATTTACTCTAACACAATGAAATTTAGCTTTCATATATTCAATTCTAAAGTCTAAACTGTAAAATTATTAACTTGACAATACTAGACCAATTACATTTCTTGAAACAGTCAGAAAAGCTTTTATCAGATTATTAAATCAACAGCTGCAAGATATATTCATCAAGAATAAAATTCTTAAAAGACTCAACTTTGCTGATTTACCACATCAATCGACACTAGAACCTCTACATATAGTTAATAATATTTTAGAATTCCACTATTTAAAAAGAAAAATGCCTGAGTATTACAAATCAGACATTTATATATTTTTTCAAGATATATCAAAAGCATATGATCGAGTTAACATTTATATGTTAAAGAAAGCTTTATATACAAAGGGTAGACAAAAGTATCTACACATGTCTATAAATGTGAATTAATGCTAGTAAAGTCATATGATCACAATAACAAATTGCGTTTACATGACACTTAAGTATTTACTTATATTATAAAAATAAAAGAATAACAAATTTGTTTTTTTTTTAATAAATTTTTCTTTTCCAAAAATCTAAAAAAAATGGTAAAACCAAAGAATTAATTACAATGATTTTTCAAGTGAAAAATAATCTTTGTATATTATCTTAGTCAGCTCAAAATCCTGATCTTAATCCAATTGAGAATCTTTGGGCTGAAGTCAAGAAAAGCATCTGAGCTTATAAAAAATCTCTATCTAATCTTGCTGATCTTGACTGATATGCTAAAAAGGCATAGTAGAAATTTCTTCAGTCAAGGAAGGATATTGCAAGTTAAAAGATTATTTAGTTCAGCCTAAGTTAAATGCTTCTGAAATCTGGCCCCGAACCTTTTCCTCTGAAAAGCCAGAAAAAGAGGAGTTCTAACCTATTGAAGATGAAACCGCCTTAAGCAAAGGAGCTAGTTTGGTTACCGCAAAATATGGATGGCTTGAGGTTGGCGACATTAGAAAGGGATTTATTAACTTTCAAGCTCAGTCATTAGAAGTATGTTCCATTTGCAATATCAAATACGAAAAAGATCAGTTATATGGCTTTCTTCTAAATAACGGATGCTTTATACTTAGATGTTATTGGCAAAAGCAATATAAACCAGATCATAAAAGATTAGCATTTGGGGAAGCAACTAAATTTTCTGCAAAGCCTAAGTGAGAAATAGTTGAAAGAATAGGCAATGCTATATCAAATCCACGTCCTCTTGTGGAATTATCAGAAATGATGATTAATGTAGAAAAATTAAAGGATGCTCCAGAAGTATATCCAGATTTCTTGGGTATTGAGAAAACAACAACACTTATTCGTTCTCCTCCAGGGACATGGAAAACCACTGCGTTAAGAGAGAATATTATGGCATTGAAAGATAAAGTACATGATATTTCTTCCTTACCATGCTATATCTGGATTTCTTACCGAAAGTCTCTTAGCAATGAATCAAAATCCAAACTTAATGAGTTAAAAGCATTTGGCTTCTGAATTTGCAACTACCAAAATATGCAAGGAGACTCATCTATAAATGAGTGGGATATTATCATAGTACAGGTTGAGAGCCTCTTTCGTATTGAATTTACAGCCCATCCATTTGTAGCTATTCTCGATGAAGCTAATGCCATTATGCGCCAAATGTCTAGTGGTACAAATGCACGGGAATCTGAAAATGCAATGCGTGATGTCTTAAGATCTGCAAGACATATTTTGGCCATGGATGCCTTCGCAAATATCTCAACACTAACTTTCCTTCAGATTTATCATAGTAAAAATATTCGTGTAGTCGATAATAAATATCAGCCTCGTATAGGTGAGACGGTTGAATTTATTTATGATTCAAATAGTGAAGCGGAAGCTATGCGAATAGGATATGACCTTTTGAGGCAGGATAAACGTGTGGCATTTGTATCTACTGGAGCAGTGATGGCGAGAGCATTAGTAGAAAAAGCATCTAAGTTATCTAAACCTGATAATTCACCTATTAGAGCCCGTGCATATTATGGGGATATGGATGGAAAATAGCGACAAAAAGACTTTTCTGATATTAATGTTACTTGGAGGAGCTTGACTGTATAGCTTATACAAATACAGTGGAGGCGGGAATATCATTCGAGGTTACAGGTCACTTCGATATAGTTATAGCTATTACAAATATTGCCACTCCAGTTCATATCGAAGCTCTTGCACAAATGCTTTATCGAATTCGTGATTATCCTCGCCGTATTGTTTCTATATTCTATCAGAAAAATTCTAATAAACTTTTTCGCCTCCCAGGTCGTAAAAATATTAGAGCAGAACTTGCAAGTACTCGACCTAATAATTTGCCTACAGCAATAAAAGGACATCGTGAATGGGATAGTAATACTATTTCTTATAAAATTGACGAGTCTCCAGCTGTAATAACATTTGTTGAAGTTGAGCATTAGAAATGCCTTTCTGCGAGATACTTTATTGAGAAGCTTTGTAGTCTTATAGCCAATACCGGCGCTTCTCTTCAGCTAATAAAAATGAATGAGAGCCGAGGAATTATAGGGAATCGTAAAAAAGTCCACAATGAGGTTAGGGTTGAAGCACTAGTTATCAAGAAAACAGATTTTGATGCAGTTGCTACTCCCAGAATCTCGATTCTGAAGAAGCTGAAAATCTTAAATTTGACCAAGAGCGCTCTATCCCAGATACTATGGCACTTAAACATTTCTATATGTGAAATATTTATGGTAAAGATATAGACAATGAGATTTGGGATAATCTTTGCAATAAAAAGTTTGTAAAACATTTCAGTCCGTCTGAATCTCGGAAACATTTCTTGCGGTTATCTCACTTTAGAAAGCAAGGCTATGATGAGGAAAGTGCAATGAAAGAGTTAGAGGCCAAAGATATTGCGCAATGGGAAGATAGCCATTATAAAGCTAAATATAATTCTGAGAAATCAGTAGCAGAGGACTTGCACAAATCATATTCAGCTAATCATTGGAAAGTTATAAGGGAACTTTTTCAAATACTAGGCTTTACCGGCATAGATGATAAGCGTATTCTTTTCAGTAATATAATATCAGAAACATTCACACAATCCTGCGAGAGATTTATAAAAGTCCTGGATCAATTCTTATTACTCTTTGGATTTAAGTCTCATGCTAAGGTAACATTGGATCTTAATTCAGCTATAAGGACAATTAATGCAATTGCTGGAAATTGGTATGGCTATACTGTAAAGATAAATAGGAAAAAAATAGGGCCTAAAGAAAAACAGGTTTGAGAACGTTCATATCAAATTAATCGGCAACCATATGATGGTCTTGGTTTTGGAGATAAAGGTGTGCCAGAGCTTCCACTATATAGGCTGAAAACAGATAATGATATTCAGGAACTCTTTGATTCTATAGGGCAAGACAAATAATACTTTAATTCAGATCGTTATTCAGCTAAGTCTTGACCATATTAGATGATCCCAAAGGGATTGATTCTGTTTCAGTTTTTTTATTTTCGTGTTAGGCATGGTCATAAATTCCACTATGTGTACTACAGATTCTGATCTTGAAATAAGTTCCCTGCTCACAGATAGGGCATATTGTTCTAGGAAGGGCATTATAATGTCTGGCACATCCTAATTCACTCATGCTTCCTTTTCCACAGATCGAACTATCTCTCTTGATGTATTAGTAGATAAAAAGACCCATACGAGGTAATTTTGATACTAATAATCTCAAAACTTCATCTTCACTTTTATTATAGATATTCAAAAATGTAACATCCTCAGCAACTATAACTTCTGAGATATAATTGGCACCTTCGGCCAGGTGGGATATAATTTTTCAAATTGAATTTTTTCTCACATAATATAAGTAAAAGAAACAACTGAAGTCTACTTATATCAATATGTCTACTGCAGAACCCACCCAAAAGACCCAGAAAGTGAAAACTAATAAATTCGTTTTGATTCTAGAACAGTTCTTAGAAAGATATAACTTATCCGCAGAGTTCAGCCCAGAGCAATTAAGCGAACATGCCCCTGAACTTAATGCTTTACTTCCAGATTGGAAGGCCCGTAAGTGCATTAAGGAAGCCTTTACCAGAAGCACTAAAAAAAGAAGTGCATTTAGCAAAGAGCAGAAAGAGGCTCTCGTGTCAGATCAAAGAAATATGATATATTCTGTTAGGAATAGGACTCAAGAAGTCGCTAAAAGTGAAGATAAGTGGGATATTTTCATTAATACTTTAGATTTGAGACCAAAAGGAAGTAAGGATGGAGTAATTAATGATAAGGAAATGGTTGCTTCTAGCTCAAACCAATCACGATTTCGTAAGTATTTAGCAGAGTATGAGGCCGATCCTGAACTTATTGATCGCTATGCTAAAGATTCGAAGACCACTACAGCTTCCAATAAAATCCAGCAAGAGCGGACTGAGAAGCGCTTGGCTAATCCAGGTAGAACTCCAGAATATTTCACCTTTGAGAAAGTGCTTAGGAGACTCCAGAATATCGATACTTCTAAAATTCCCTCTATGCAAGATCTCACGGATGTGATAGTGATGCTAAGCATGAGGCCTGCTGAAGTATCATCTTTCCAGATTATTAATTACAAACCAGATTCTGAAGATCTGCCAGTGTGGTATAAAGCTGGTTATTCTTGGTATTGCACTGAATGTCGCAAACAGAGAGATAAACCGATGCCTATGCGCTTACTCTCTATGAAAAAGGATCCAGAACGTGCTAGGGAATTACTTATCTAGATTCAAGACGCTATTAAGGCTGGAAAGTTGCATGATCCAGTTTATACTGAAACTGGAAAGCGTAATAATGTGCCATTTACCAAATTCATAAAGAGTTTAAAAACTAATCAGGACAAAGATGAGATTACTCCCGAGCTTCTAAGAAAAATAGGAGCTAAACATGCTTCGATGGTTCATGCCGGTCCAAATCCAACCCCTCAACATCTCGATAATCTTTCAGAAATCGCATTAAGACATAAAATTAACCGTCTTGATGCAGGGAAAAATTATGCTTTAGGTGATCTAGAATCGAAGGAGCCCATATCTGATTCTGAATCTGAACCTGAATCTGAGTCAAGTGATAGTCCAAAATCCAAACACAGGCTTCTTCACCTACATTTCAATCTAGAAATAACAATCCAAAAAAGTCTCAGACTATGGATATGGATTCAATGTTAGCAGAAATCAATGCAATGTTAGCTGAAATTCGGAAATAAATGCCAGTCCGGAGCAGTAATCATCAGCTCAAAAGATTTTTGCTGGGTCACAGATTGTGCGACAAAAATAGGCTGATCATCAGTCAGGTCTTGTGTGACATATTAATTTTTGTATATATATTCGAAAAGACATATTAACCTTTATTCTTTATTTTTTCCCCAACCAAACATAAGGAAAATGTGAAAGAAGGTCTAGTTGCAACACAGAACCTACTGTAAAAGTAGATATTGACGGCAAAAGCATATGTTATAGAGAGCTGAGGACTTCGCAATTTCGAGATCGTCAGGCGTAAAGCTAACTATATGTCTTGCAGGGTAGATCTACATGTAAAAAAGTAAGAAGATTCCATTTGCATATGCTTTCATAGGGCCTTGACATCATACGACAAAGCTAATTATGCCACATACCTCCTTAACATTTTCCTAGCAAGATATAAAGCATGTAGGGGTATGTGGAAGTTCAGCCAACTTTCCGCAAAAAACTTTCTAAGCGAAAATAACGCAAAATAAGGTATGTATACGCCCTAAATTATGTATGTATACATCAGAAATATTTTTAATGCGAAGTATTGCGTAAGATTTACGATTTGTAAACTTATGCAAATATTACGGCGTAAGGTTACGTA